CCGCGGCCGTCTCCAGGGCTGCGCGCACGGAGCGGGACAGGTCGCCCCCGGGGTGCGACCTGGGACAGGCGGCCGCCAGCCGCCGGGACCGCCATCAGTTACGTAACGAGCGGCAACTTGTCGAGCCGCGACCCGCTCCGAGACGCGTCGTCCGGCGGAGATTTACTGCGGGGGGCGGAGGTCCGGGACGGTGGCGTCGCTGCCCAAGAGTGTGTGGGTGGCGGCAGAGAGACACCGAGCTGCAGACCAGGGTGTGTGGCTCCTGCCCCGACCACAGGTCGGGACGGTGTCGGCCTGGCCTGGACCGACGCAGCGCCGTGAGTTGAACTCGATCTGAGCCGTGCCAGTGCTGGCCGGCGTGGGAGGAGCAGCTCGCTAGCCATCCTTTACGCGCAGTAGCTAAATGAGGGACGCCTCTTCGTCGCAAGCGATATGGCACGTACGCCTCTACGCTCGCCTTCCGCCGCTCCTGGAGCAAATCTAATCAGGCGGACTCCTCTGGCGGTCGGACCAGTGTTACCATTATGGACGCAACGTGAGGCCGTACCAGCAGCGGCTGAGAGACGGCGTCCATGTTCGCCGCCGGAAACACCGCCGGCCGGCTGCTCGCTCCCGGCGGAGCCGACGAGAGTTGCAGGCCAATCTTGACTGGCTTCATTTCGCCTGGTTTATGAGCCGACAGTGGAGGACCCTCCGCCCGTCATCAATCTGATTAATCTCTCTCTCTCTCTCCTCTCTCTCTCTCTCTCCTCTCTTCTCTCTCTCCTCTCTCTCTCCTCTCTCTTGTCTCTTGTCTCTGTCTATGTCTCTGTCTCTGTTCTCTGTCTCTGTCTGTCTTGTCTCTGTCTCTGTCTTGTCTCTGTCTCTGTCTCTGTCTCTGTCTCTGTCTTGTCTCTGTATGTCTGTCTCTGTCTCTGTCTCTGTCTCTGTCTCTGTCTCTGTCTGTCTCTGTCTTGTTGTCTGTCTCTGTCTATGTCTCTGTCTCGGTCTCTGTCTTGTCCTCTGTTCTCTGTCTCTGTCTCTGTCTCTGTCTCTGTCTCTGTCTCTGTCTCTGTCTCTGTCTCTGTCTCTGTCTCTGTCTCTGTCTCTGTCTCTGTCTCTGTCCTCTGTCTCTGTCTCTGTCTCTGTCTCTGTCTCTGTCTCTGTCTCTGTCTCTGTCTCTGTCTCTGTCTCTGTCTCTGTCTCTGTCTCTGTCTCTGTCTCTGTCTCTGTCTCTGTCTCTGTCTCTGTCTCTGTCTCTGTCTCTGTCTCTGTCTCTGTCTCTGTCTCTGTCTTGTCTCTGTCTCTGTCTCTGTCTCTGTCTCTGTCTCTGTCTCTGTCTCTGTCTCTGTCTCTGTCTCTGTCTCTGTCTCTGTCTCTGTCTCTGTCTCTGTCTCTGTCTCTGTCTCTGTCTCTGTCTCTGTCTCTGTCTCTGTCTCTGTCTCTGTCTCTGTCTCGTCTTGTCTCTGTCTCTGTCTCTGTCTCTTGTCTCTGTCTCTGTCTCTGTCTCTGTCTCTGTCTCTGTCTCTGTCTCTGTCTCTGTCTCTGTCTCTGTCTCTGTTCTTCTCTGTCTCTGTCTCTGTCTCTGTCTCTGTCTCTGTCTCTGTCTCTGTCTATGTCTCTGTTCTGTCTGTCTCTGTCTCGGTCTCTGTCTCTGTCTCTGTCTCTGTCTGTCTCTGTCTCTGTCTCTGTCTCTGTCTCTGTCTCTGTCTCTTGTCTCTGTCTTGTCTTGTCTCTGTCTCTGTCTCTGTCTCTGTCTCTGTCTCTGTCTCTGTCTCTGTCTGTCTCTGTCTCTGTCTCGTCTGTCTATGTCTCTGTCTCGTCTCTGTCTCTGTATCTGTCTCTGTCTCTGTCTCTGTCTCTTGTCTCTGTCTCTGTCTATGTCTCTGTCTCTGTCTCTGTCTCTGTATCTGTTATGTCTTGTCTCTGTCTCGTATCTGTCTATGTCTCTGTCTTGTCTCTGTCTATGTCTCTGTCTCTGTATCTGTCTCTGATCTGTCTCTGTCTCTCTCTGTCTCTGTCTCTGTCTCTGTCTCTGTCTCGTCTCTGTCTTGTCTCTGTCTCGTCTCTCTCTTCTCTCTCTCTCTCTCTCTCTCTCTCTCTCTCTCTCTCTCTCTCCTCTTCTCTCTCTCTCTCTCTCTCTCTCTCGCTCTCTCTCTCTCTCTCTCTCTCTCTCTCTCTCTCTCTCTCTGTCTCTCTCTCTCTCTCTCTCTCTCTCTCTCTCTCTCTCTCTCTCTCTCTCTCTCTCTCTCTTCTCTCTCTCTCTCTCTCCTCTCTCTCTCTCTCTCTCTCTCTCTCTCTCTCTCTCGGCCCTGGTCTTGGTCTTGGTCTTGGTCTTGGTCTTGGTCTCTCGTGGGAGAGAGGCGTCGTTGTGAGCGGCTCTGGGTTCACGCCAGCGTGGCTGTGCAGCGTGATCCGTTGGAGAGGACTCGCTGTCCGTTGGAGAGGACTCTTGACAGTCGCAGTGTCGGCCTCGCAGTCTTCAGTCGTGTCAGCTGTCTGGCTGTGTTTTGCGCTTGGTCCGATTCGCCCGTGACCCCGTCCCACGGGTTTCCGTGGGTTGGACATGTGTGCGTGACGTGCGTGTAGTGCACCACCGCGCCCAGACTGGTCGTCTCCCTCCTTTACGTGATCGGTGTTTGCGGTGACTGAAACCAGCGCTTCCCTTTCTCTCATACGTATTTGGGACGGCTGCCTTTATTGGCTCGAATGTGCTTGCGCCCACCGTGTTTGGCGCTCCGCACCTCGCCAGGATAGAAATTTGGCCAGTACGGAGTGTAAAACTAAGTAGAAACTATCGTGGTATTCGAGCAGATGTGGAAGTCGTAAAGCTTTCTTAAAAAGACCGTGGTAAGTAAAATTACCCAGTAAGCAATCATGAACACATCTGGTTCACCAAGCCCTTGCAACAAAGGATTCAGGCGTGCCCAACGGTCACAAAAGATTACACGTCCACACTCGTATTGCTGACCTGAAAGGTGGCAACCTAACGGGTCTTTTGATGTTAGTTACTGTGCGTTGGTGTTGTTAGTTTTGTGCGGTGGTCTTGGTTTTGGTTGTGTCTCGTTTGGACTCCCTCCTGATCTGATCCACGTGCGCCGCTGACCCGCCGCGCGCGCTCCTGTCCTCCGCAGGTGACCCGGGAGCAGTACGAGATCTACTGCGAGATGGGCAGCACGTTCGAGCTGTGCAAGATCTGCGCCGAGAACGACAAGGACATCAAGATCGAGCCGTGCGGCCACCTGCTCTGCACGCCCTGCCTCAGCTCCTGGCAGGTGCGTCGGCAGCGCACGTCGCTCCCGCGGGGTTCGGCCGCGCATTCGGCCGCCGAGCGGCCGTTCTATTGGTGGGAAGACGAAGGGAGGTGTCTGAATGCCGTGTGAAGGGACGGATACGAGACGGATGAGTCGGTGCTGTGATCGTTCGTCGTACTTTGTTTTAGTTGAGTTGTGAAAGGAAATGAATTGTCTAAACTTTTTGAAATGTCGTCGGATGGCTGCGCCGTCATAGATAGGATTAGCTATATTCGGTGCTGTATATCTTTCAACTGGGTTAACGTCCGGTCACAGATGATTTCCGTTGGGAATGATGGGCTAGCCAACCATGCATCGAAAGCTTTAATCCCGCGCGAGACAGGACCTCTTCCGCTCCAATGTTGTCCTGTCCTGGTTTTGTCTTCTTAACATATTTCAAAGTCGGCGTCAGGGGATCTTGGGGGTGAATTGTCGCCTCACAGCGTCCCGCGCCGTACACCAGTACAGTGTGAATGGACAACAAGGGTGGCACGTAGGACTGCCCGGGTGCCTGGATACATTGCGGCTAAGCTTCTTCACCCCCGCACTAAACGACATGGGCAGACGTCGTGGTCCGTCGTGCGCTGGCAGTATTGTCACGGCCTGTCAGCGGAACTGACCCCGATGATCCGCGTCCCGCCTCGTCCCTCGTGCGAGGGCAGGCTGCCCCTCGTGCTGGCGGCGGGGAGGGGCCCCACCCCCACCCCGGTGCCGGTGTCGGCTGCCGTGTGTCGCCGCCGCCGCCGGGCACGGCCGTGTTTCCGGCTTCTCTCCGCTGGCGGCGGGCGGCTGCGACCCTGATCGATGTTTACCCGTCGCCTAGCAACGCCGTGCGTCACGGCTGCCTGCGGGCAAGGTCGCGCGACCCGTGACCTCTAGCGGGGCTGGGGCGGCGGGCCGCTGTGCTCTGGTGAAATCTGAGGGTGGGTTGTTGGACTGTTACGTCGCGGCGGACGGGGCAGGCAGGGTTAGGAGTGCTTAGATAACCCGGGAGGGGGTGGGTGGTAGGGGGAGGGGGAGTGGACTGGCGTGGGTGGAAGCTTCCGGTGCCCTGCGTTATGAGCAAGAGCAAGTTATTACAGGGGCGGGAGGCGGCAACTGATGTGTGCCTCGGTACCCGACCGTGGTACCGTGGTATATATGTGTTTGTTCGGCTCCAGCAGCGGGCTCATCACTTCATCGGCCGCGTGACATTTTGACCCGGATTTCAGAGAGAGACGTATTTCACTCGTCAGATCGGAACAAGTGGCGGTATAAGGCTCCACGTTGTGTGGCTATACCAGTGAAATGCGTTGGTGCGCAACATGTCGATTAAGCTTTACAAGCAGACAAAGCCGAGGCTTGGAAAATTCCTTTCAGAAACGGTGCGTAACTAGGCCCGTCTGTCCCCTCCGAATGAAGCCGACACGCCATTTTCAAGCGCGGTGCCCAGCAGGCCACGGGACGTCGTGATTTGTTAGAGACGCGGCTGTGGACGTGTCGCTCGAGCGCCACGCTGCCGTAACGTGTGCGGGGGGAAGTGGCAGCGGGCACCCCGGGGAACTGACCGCGAGCCGGTGAATGGCGGTGTGCGCCGCTGGCATCGATTTCAGCCCCCGGGCCGCCTAAGTGCTTCGGGCAGGGGGCCCGTCGGCTAAACCACTTTAGCTTCGTCGTTTAAAAGATCTCCCAGCACGCCTGGAGCGTGCCTTCGCCCGTGCTCAGGGTCGCGGTGGTATCGCTGAATTCTCGCGGGCGTTTTCTTCGCTGAACTATTTCGGTAGAGGTGAGCCGGCGCCGCCGTCTAGGTCGTGCTCGGACGGTTACGGCCGAAGTCGCTGTGTAAATTGGCTTATCACAGAGCTGTTCCGTGCAGCAGGAACCCGTACTTGTGTGACGTCTTAGCTGTAATAGGCCTGGTCGTGTCAACTCCTGTCGTGTTGACGCTCGTGTTCGCCACTGCATGGCGTTGGGGGGGGGGGGGGGGGTCGCTTCCGGCAGCGACTTGGCCAGCGTGTGTTAACGATCCCGTGGGAACCGATTCGACTGATCGCGTAGAGCAGGCTTCGGCTTCGGTTGTGCCTGAGGGTGTAAACATGGAGCACGCAAACACCTTTGGTGTCTGCGTGGTGCATTTTTTAAGTTCTTCGATTTTCGACCCGGCAGTATATTTCAGCAGTGTCATGTGTATGTTGGCAATGTTTTGGTTTGCATTCGATGGCGGACAGCGGAGGCGGCTCGCATGGGACCGTCGTCACGGCCGTCGTGTCGTGATCCCCTGGTTGCTGTTTCATCAGAATTGTTTGATTATATTTTGCCGCCGCATGTCACTGCTTTGCTTATTAGGGTCGTCGTTGGACCATGTCAACTTGGTCCAACTGTGCCGAGCAGTGTGGCAGGCCGAGCGGCGACCGTCTCTCCGTGTCTGACGCCGCGCTCTGTCGCTCCGTGGCGCCTCCGCAGGACTCGGACGGCCAGGGCTGCCCGTTCTGTCGTGCCGAGATCCGCGGCACCGAGCAGATCGTGGTGGACGCGTTCGAGCCGGGCCGGCCGGGGCCGCGCGTGCGCTGCGTGCGCCGCGAGTACCCGCCTCCGCGACCGCCGCCTCCGCCGCCGCTGCCGCCCAGCATCCACAGTCCGGCTGAGGTACGCGTGCGGGTGGCGCCGCCCGCCGTCGGCGGGGCGAAATTGAAGTTCCCCTCGTGGCCGCAGCATGTGTGGCGGCGCACTGGCCGGGCGGTGCGGGAGGACCGAAGCGAGTGGCAGTCTGCTGCTGCTGCAGCTGCATGGGGCCTCGGTGCTGCTGTTACCAGACGCGTGCAGTGGGACCAGACCAGTGGGACAGCAGGACATGGGACCGGGGGCTGAAGGTTCGCGTCGACATGTTGCTAGTGCCGCCGGCCGAGCCTTGGCTGCCCCTCGCCGTCGCCGCTGCTTTGTTTGGCCCGCTCCGGACGGTAGCACCTTGGCGCAGACGTGCATGAGTTAGCAGACGTGTCTGATGTTGCCGCGATCGCATCTCCGTCGCATCAATACCGCCTGGGTGCCGGCTGACGGCGGGTCGTTTGACGGCCGTGCGGGCCGTTGGCGGTGTGCCGGTGACTGTGGACCACTCCCGCGTGGTCTGCTGCTCAGTCGGCCTGCTCCTCTCCCAGCCGCCGCACGTGGGCGACCGCTGCCCAGATAACGCTTCGTAAAATCGCCCGGTCGCCTGTGCCAATGAACGTGTGTTGCCCCGTGCAGTCATGCCGGGGTCGCTGGTGCATCCCGCCCGTGATACGGCGAGCCCGTGTGCGTAGCTGGCACCCATGCTGTAGCTAGTGCGAGCGAGGAGGGCAGCCCGGCTGTCGTGTAGGCGCGCGTGTCCGGCGCTGTTGCCTGCGTAGAGCACGCCCCCGATCGTGTGTCGCTTTCCGGGCAGCCGGGTGCCCGCTAGCCCGCCTGTGCCTGCTGCCCCGGCACCGGCGCCGGCGCTGGCGCCGCTAACCCTGGCCAGCGCCGGCCGACGACGGCCCCGCCGGCGGCCGGCCGACCGCCCGCATGGCAGGTGGGTACCGCGCCGCTGCCGCGCGCATGCGCTGGCCGGCTGGTCTGGTGCCCAGGCCTCTCCTCGCTCGGTGTCACCCGCATCGACAGAGGCTTTCGTTCCCCGGCTCGCGCCTGGGATCTTCGGGCCCGTGTTCTGTTTCTCTTTTCGCTCGTGATCCCCTTTCCTCATTGTCTCCATTTTCCCGCTTCATTTTCTTTTTTCCCTTTTCCCGTTAGTCGCTTCTCTCTTTGGCTGTCTTTGTCTTCCTTGTTTACCCCCTCATTTCGCTTGACCATCACTGTTCGCCCCCCCCCCCTCGTCCGCATTCCCTCGCCCCCTTTATTTTGTGCCTGTCTGTATTCCTCTGGGCCTCTGTCCTCTGTCTTCCCTCTCGCTTTCCTAACCTTACGTTCACTAACCCATGTGCTCCATAGCCGGGGGATAACGCCGCTTTGTGAATGCCATTAACCTAATAACCAGACGAGAACGCACTCGGTCATTGCCAGCTGACTGTACGGAACGACGCAGTCCGTCTCAGCGCTGTGACGTAACGCCGGTCGCAGCCGGACGAGCGTGTGTGTGGGTGTGTGGGTGTGTATGGTGGGCGGAGGCCGGGTGACGGCGCGGCTGTCCGCTGAGCGCGCCCTCCTGCCCAGAGCGACGACGAGCCCTCGGTGCCGCTGTACCCGTTCCTGGAGGCGCGCTCCTCCCGGCTGGCCGACGTGGGCCGGCTGCCGGCGCCGCCGCTGCCGCCGCGGCCCGGCCTCGTCCGCTCGCGCAGGTCAGTGGCGCCGCGTGGGCTGCAGCCCGGCCCGGCCCGCGCCGACGCCACACCCGGTTACGGATCTTGCAGGGCCGGGAGTGGGGCCGGTAGCAGAAGCGGCAGGTGTTTCACGTTTGGTAGTACAAGTGCGATGTGTGGAGGGTACCACCGGTGTCTTATCTCGGGCTGTTTGGCTTCATTACGTGTATCCTTAGCACCTACTTTTTTGTTTGCCTGTTTTGATTTTATTTGAGCTTTTTAGCGACCAGTCAGTCAGCCTCTAGCGTTCACGCTGCGTCTCGTAGCCCGTTGATAAGGCCGGGTTCTATCCATTTCCCACAGTCTGACCCCGGCTACTGTCTCAGCCGTTTCGTGGCCTCTGACCAGCGGCAGTCGTTGCCCCGGACGAGACCGACGCTGTGATCTCCAAACGTTCCCTGTCGTTCGCACCCAGGGCGCGGTCTCTGTCACGCGGACCCGGCTCGCGCCGACCGTGCGGTGACTGACATGGTCCCGCTCTGCCCCAGCTCGCACCAGCTGTCCTCCGTCGAGGCGCAGCAGATGACGCGAGTGGACTCGGACTCCGGCGAGGCACCGGCCAGGCTGCATCCAGGTGAGGGCACGGATATCACTGACTCGCGGGAGCACGCGTTACGCTCACGGGTGAGCACAACCCGCATGTGGGGACACGTTACTGCCGACCCAGGCTGCCCGTGCCAGGTCCGCTGTCGGCCGAGATTGATCGAGGCTGTGGTGTTAATCATACTTAAATCTGATATATGTGCCCGCTTTTGATCAGACTGGTCTGCTTTAAAGGTGTTCTGGCTTTTTGATTCCCTATATTTTTTTCAGCGAGTCATCATTTCTGCTGGATTTACGTACTGTGTACGGTTGATCATGCTACGAATGGGCTATTTCATGCTGCATTGGGATTTCGTCTGGCAGATTTTGCTGCTGCTACGTAGGCCTAGGAAGAATACTTAAAAGCGTTCTTGTCGGCAATAAGCAGACTTGACCGATACTGTAATCGGTCGGTATTTTCAGCCACGTCGGAAGGCGTTGTCGTAAATCAATGATGTAGGAGCGCTTCCATGAGCGCGTGGGAGTAACCAACGATCGGGGAGGGCAGATCAGTGCCGTGGAGGACGGCGCTGTTGCCACGGTTAGACCACCGCTGCGGATAAGCGGAGCGCTGAGGCTCTATAAGGGGTGTTTGGCGTGGGACACAGCCGTGAGGATGTGACCAATGGGGGAAGGGACATGGGTTAAACCTTGCTGAACCAGCACCCCCTGTATCCGACCCGAGACCACACAGTGCATACTGTACGCAGCCCGATATCTTGACGCACGCGCGAGGCCATTTTGGCGGGTGGCAGGTAGACACTGTGAGCAAAATATGACCCTTGCCTGCTAGTCTCCCAGCAATAAGTGACCGGGGAGGGCTGCGACGATCCAGCAACAGACGGCGCTCATCTGACTGGCAGGCTTTGGTCGGGGCGCTCTGACGGAGAGAGACCGGGCGTTCGCCTCCACGTCTTCACTGCTGGCGCCTCAGGATCCATGCCTGCCCCCTCGAGCACCCCTGAAGCCGAACCCGCCCTTCCACCTCACCCCGGAGCCGTGTCTGCCTCCCAGGCCCAGCTCAAACATCTTCCCTATCAGCAGGTCCACGCCAGAGTCCAGCCCACCCCCCAGACCCGCAGCGGATTCCGGTTCGCCCTCCAGGACTGCTCCGGATCCCTGCCGAACCACGGCGGAGCCTGGCCGCTCTCCGCGGCTCGCCGGAGAGTCCCTGCCATCCTCTTGGCCGACTCCAGAGCCCAGCCCCGCTCACAGGCTTACCCCAGAGCCGGGCCTCCTGCCCAGGGCCTCCCCGGAGGCCAGTCCACCGCCGAGGCCCTCCGCCGACCCGCCGCCGACCTGCCGACCTGCCCTCGTGCCCAGCCCGTCCCCAAGACCCGCTCCGGAGCCGAGTCAGCTGTGCCGCTCGTCCTCGGACCCGCTGCGCGGCGCGCGGTCGGTCGCCGACGCCCCGCGGCCGCCGGCGGAGGCGCGCGCGCCGCCCGAGCCGGCCCGGCCGCCGCCGGCCGCCAGCCCGGCGCCGCGCACGCCGGTGCCGGCGCCGCGGGTCTGTCGTCCCGAGACGGCATCGGAGCGGCACGCGCGCGCGCTGGCGCCGCCGCCGGAGCGCGACGCGCCCGAGCCGCCCTGGCAGCCGGCGCACGACTACCAGAACGCGCTCGTCGGCAGCAGAGGGCGTGAGTGTGTATATCTTTTTTGGGGGGAGGGTGGGGGGCGACAGGTGGGTCGTAATTTCGCGTTCCATCTGCTGCTATCCTGCTAGCGTGCACGCACTCATGGGTGGTTCGTCGAGCGTGCCAATATCGGCACAGTTGCGTCATCACGTGTATGGCCTGGCTCCGCGCCGCGGCGCGCCTGGCGGGGCCGGGGTGTGGGGACAGTGGCGGAGCCGCCGGCGGGCCTGTTCTGACTGGGCTGGTGGCGGCGCTCTGTTGCAGCCAGCCCGTGCCCGATGACTGTCGAGGCTCCACACGAGCACCACAAACCGCCGCCGCCGCCGCCGTCACCGCCGCCGCCCTCGCTCGCGGGTCCCGGGTAAGTGGTGCCGCCCCGTCGGGTGTTGGCGTTGACATGAAAGAGCATACGGACCACTTGAAGGTTGGCCACGTTATGGCTGGCTTTTGCAAAATCCTTAGCTGCTTCGGTGGCTTACAAGACAGTTCTTTGGACATCCTGTAGATGGCGTCATGTGAAAGTGTCACTTGCTGCACATCTCGGACAAGTAGATCCAGGTCAGCATCTTAAGCGCGATCAGTCAGTGGGGAAACGAAACCTCAGAGCGTCCGCGGCCGTGGTCCTATTCCAAACCGCATAGTCTGCCCGGCCGTGAACCCGCCGGTAGAGCGGCGCATTTCGCTCTTGCCGCCCGCACGCAGCGGGCCGGGCGTAACGTTCGCCTCCGGGGTCGGCAGCAAGGAGGGCGGCGTGATATCGTATGAGAACCTGCGGCTGAGTCACCTGGCCAAGCTGTGCGCCGAGGGCTACTCGCAGCGGGCCGTGTTGCGGGCGCTCACCATCTCGCAGAACGACATCCAGATCGCCAGGAGCATCCTCAACGAGTACGTCAACCGCGCCTGGTGAAGGGCCGGCCTGGAGGGCGGCGCAGAGGGCGGGCGCGGCGCGGCGCGTGAGGCAGCGCGCGCGTGTCCGTCTCTGCGCGCGCGTGTGTGTGTGTGTGTGTTTGTGTGTGTATGTGACGGCGGAGGCTATTGCGGTGTGAGCGCATGGCTGTATTGGTATCAGAGAGGAGTGCTATTTTTCTGGCGCGTGGACGTGGTGGGGAGCGTGTCGCGCCCGTGTCGTCGGTGTCGACCTCCGCATCGGAGGTGTCATCGGTGCTCGTCCGCATCAGGGTGTCGTTGGTGTCATTATCTTCATCGGAGATGTCGGGCCGCGTCGGTCACTAGGTGTCATTGTCTCTCTCCCTGCGGCGATTCTGCGCATCAATCCGCGGTGTTGGCCGCATGAGCGCGCCGTGTGACCCGAACGACGCGTCAACAAAACTGGCGGGCTGTGGGGGCGCGCCCGTCAGCTGGCCGGGCCGGGCGACCGCGCCGGGCCCCTCTGTCGGTGCTGACCGCGCCGGGCCCCTCTGTCGGTGCTGACCGCGCAGGGACCCCTGAGGTGCGCCGCTGCCCGGGGACCGGGCGCTGTCGCCTGCGCAGGCTGTGCAATACCGGCGCCCGCCGACGGAGCGGGCAGCCGGGCGCGATCCCCGCTCCCGCCGGTCCGCCGCGCCGCCGATCGCTGCGTGCGTGACGGTCCCGTCTCTTCCGCTGGTGTTCTCAGACGCTCTGTTGGCTGTTGGGGAGCGAGCACAAATGCCATATCCGTTGTTACCTATTCCGCTGTGGGATATTTTATCGCTGTCGCGCGAGTGCGCGTGCCGGCGTCCGGGCGCGGACCACGTTTTGCTCGGACGCGGACGTGTTGGCCGCGGCGGAGCGTTCATCCTCCTGCCGGCCAGGGTGGGGCCGGGCCGGGCTGGGTCAGGGGACTGCGGTAGTGTCCGCTGTCGCTCCGCCGTCGTCCAGCCGTCGGAGTCTGCGTGGGGTGCTCTTGCGAACGTCTGTGTGATGTGACCGACCCTGCGGGACCCGACCCTTCCCGGGACCTGTTCTCCTGGTTTTCTGGCGAGCTCGCCTGCGGCGGTGGGATGCGCGGGCTGGACGGTAGTGCTGCGCGACGCCCCGTGGGATGCGATGGTGGGCCGCGGTCGGCACAGCTGCGCGCCGCGCCTGATCTGACCTGACCTGACCTGAGCCGGGCCGGGCTTTGAACTCCCTGCCGTGGGAGAAGCGTCCACCGGGGCGGGGCGGGACGCAGCCGGCCGCGTGCCGGCCTCAGCAGACCCCGCCCCACCACCGGGGCCGGGCGGGACGCGGGCGGCCGCGTGCCGGCCTCAGCAGACCCGCCCCACCACCGGGGCCGGGCGGGACGCGGGCGGCCGCGTGCCGGCCTCAGCAGACCCGCCCCACCACCGGGGCGGGGCGGGACGCAGCCGGCCGCGTGCCGGTCTCAGCAGACCCGCCCCACCACCGGGGCCGGGCGGGACGCGGGCGGCCGCGTGCCGGCCTCAGCAGACCCGCCCCACCACCGGGGCGGGGCGGGACGCAGCCGGCCGCGTGCCGGTCTCAGCAGACGCGCCCCACCACCGGGGCGGGGCGTGGGACGCGCCGCCGCACGGTGTGGCGGAGCTGGTAACTGGCCGGCTCGTGTGGTGTGAGCGGCGCGCCGGGTCGGGACTTCTCAGTGATACGTGGGAGGATGCAGGTGCAAGGTGAGCACGTGAGAGCGTTTGCTCGGCTGTTTTTGTGGAGAGCTTATTGGGTGCAACGCCACTCATTGGACATTTTGGCTCCAATTTGAATGTTACCTCGCCGTTCCTGTATAAGAATATATTATTTAGTCTGGACGAACCCTTTTCACGAATGCCGAAGAGATCTTACAGCGGTTTCAGCCTGATTATCTGCACGGAGAGGCGGCGTCGGCACCGGGAGCGTTGCTATCCGCCACGTAACATTGACTCTTGCGTGAGTGACGCAAAATGTACGTCAGTTGTTACCTGGGAGACTCGTCATTCATGGATTACACGGACTCTTGTCCGTGTTAAGCTTTTCTGCACGGTAAGGTTATTTAACTTTTCCTCTGATGAGGGAAAGAGGGAGTGGATGCAAGCCCAATGGCATCGGTTTTTTAGGATACCGCTTCGGCATGTTGTGCAGCATCGTCCGAATTCTCAGTTGCCTACGGCCCTCCATTGCGTGCATTTTGTCACCAAGGGCGTGTAACTAGGTTGGTTTCGGAGCTGTGACTATTTGTTTAGGAGCGCTGCACGACGATCTACAGCCCAGGAGGGAGGGCGGGCGGCAGCCGACAATGCCGCGGATTGTACGCGGCATCGTCGGCCGACGTTTTTATATTAATGGCCCCATATATCATAAATGTATGCTCAAAGCACAAAAACATGTGTCCTTAGACTCAGAACTGAACATTGAACACTTCTGTTTGTGTTTTGTATCGCCTCAAGTCATGATCTCGTAGGACTGATGTAAGGCCGAAAAGCATGATTTTCTTCCAAATTGGACGTCTGACCTGCCTTTATGAAGTCAATTATTGACTTCATAAAGGCAGGTACCGATCGCGAGATGTCATTGAGGCCAACCCGCCGATGTTTTCTGCCAGGCTCTATATTAGTTTGGAAACGCCAGAGATGTCGCCCCCCCCCCCCCCAATCAGTCGCCCCTATTACGAAAAACGGTGGGTCAGCGCTGATGTACCGATGCTAGCCAATCTGACGTCCCCTGTGAGTGGTAATCCTCAACTTAGCGGAGCTGGAGCTGCAAGATACTTTTAACCCAACGTCAATCATAGACATTTAGTG